TTCCAAAAATAAATTGAAAAGATATCTCTTTGTTACGTGAAAAACATTAAATTTATTCAAAAATAATTTTAAATTCATTGTGTGCTTTTAGGCAAAAATTATGCGTCCCTTTTCCATTTCCTACTCAGGTGGTTAGAAGGTAAAAAGGAATTTTTCGAAATCTTTTTGCTGATTCTTTGTGGCTTTCTAAGTTAATGGATATTTGTTGAAATTTTTCCAAATGCATTTATGGCAGAAGGTGAACCAAGAATATAAGAAAATTAATACCTCTCTGTGTGTATGTGTTAAAAGTAATTAAATCTTAGGGAAAACAAAGTGTCAGTTAGGCACTTTATTACAAATTATTTTTCGTAAGTTTAATATTACATAGAAAGTATATTGTAAGAATGAGTTAACTTCTTTTACTTCTAAAAAAGAAAAAAGAAAAATCATTTAGTCATTTCTGAAATTTGATTATTGTCCTTTATTTCAATGCACAACAACAAAGTTTGTTTTCATAGCTGAATTAAAAGATTCTAAACCATAAAAATATAAAATTATATGCAATGTGTTTTAAAATAATAAAATCATTTTCACAGAACGCTTTCTTTAAGTGTTTTCATTATTTTCAGAGGCACATTATATACTCGTACTTATAGCAATTATGAAAGAAATTAGCCACATTTGTTGTGGTTAAGGTTCGGGAAAAGTAAAGTTTATTGTTTTTTTGTTATACTTAACTATATACGTTATTAAGCACGTTACTTATATTTTACTTAAATTAATCCTTTACAAGTTGCGTGTATAAGATGTCAAAGACATCAACTTTTCTTTTTTACTTTCTACTTTAAAAATGTTTAATTTAACTGAAAAAATTAGTAGTAGCGATATGGTATTAGTGGAACATATGATAAAATATATACTATTCTTAAAAAGAATTGTAATCCTATATATATATCAGTGTTTCTCAAACTGTGGGGTGTGAGCATATCGAAAATAAAAGATTTAAAAAAAATTTTAAATTTAAATCTCTCTGGCGAATTAAAACAAAATACTTTCAGACATAATAAAAAAAAGCCCCTTTTTTTGTGATATAATTTTTAGGCAAATTAAAAAATTAAAAATAAAAAAATTTTCAATACCTAATTAGCTTCTTTGTCCCATAACCAAAAAAAAAAACTTTTTTGATTTGCTTTTTCCCTGATGAGAAATTTTTTTTTGCGTTTTCTTTTTAAACCCCCAAAAAATTACTCTTTCAGAAAAAAAAAATCGCCCAAATCAAAAAAAATTAGGAACTAAAATTCATCTCTGTGATTTTTTTTTGAAAAAATTTGAAATTATAGCGTAATCTGTTTTACGTAATTGACTTCTAATTTATTTTACGTTAGTTATCCCCCTCTCTTATGTGTTTGTTTCTGATTTGGGGAAGTTGTGAAAGTATTTTTTGTTGCGCTTTTTTTAAAAAGGTTTTTATGATATTTGAAAACAAAAACCTTTGAAGGATTACTTGGCGAAGTTTTTTTTAGGGTATTTCAAACATATAAAACATAATAAAAAACTTTTTTATACAATTTTTTTAGCAATAACATACATATTATCCAAATGAATACACTTTTCCCGGAAGGGGTCGCGGGGGAAAATAGATCACGAAATGTTAATTCTGGCAAAACTGTTTACGTTACCAAAAAAAAAAATGAAAATCCTTGAAAGTAGGTATGTTTACTTTCTTTAATTAAATTATTCACTGAATCACGATTTGACCCTTTACAGAAAAAATTTTAAAAAGGATTGGGGTGACTAAATACCCCCCTGACCGTATTGAGTGCGTGCCTGCTCCGGGTTTAAAAAAACATGTTGAAGTCTTTTTTTTTTAAATTTTAAAAAATAATACAATTTTTCATCGGAATTTTATATTATTGTTCATTTTTTCATCAATTATAAATGCTAATTCTGTGAGGCTTTAAAATTTTCCTTAAAATAATTAAAAAATTTGAGCAATCAACATTTTTGTAAACATTGTGCGCACTTGGCTTTACTCTCCTTAAAATTTCAGCTATTATACAATAATGTTTCATTTTTTAAAATGAACTGGGCAGGCGGGCCTTCAGCCGGTATACTTTTAATGTATCAGTGCTGCACAGAGTATTTTGAACTAATTAATTTACTAAATTGAACAATTTAAAGTATTGCTTCCCTTTTTCTTGAAAACAAAATTTATAAGGAAAGCTTATGATTAGAAATTGACCCCTGAGTTCTTTTTTTATTTGCTAATATCTATATTTTGTCTTCTGCACCCCACATTTTGAATATGTTCAATTTAAAAAATTTAAAGAAAGGAAAAAAAAACATAATATATTTTTCTTATTTTTTTTTTTTTTTTTTTGAACATGTACAAAATTTAATACTTATTTTAAATTTGATATGGTTTTAATTAATATCCTATTTTTTGCTTTAGCGTCAAAAATGCATATTTTTGAATTCAGTACATTATTAATGTAAAGGGGGGGGTGGTAAAAATTGGATTGAAAAAGGGGCAGTATTGAAAGTTTTGAAGATGATATATATTTTTAATTTACTTTACATGGAAAAATTGTAATACATCAAAAAGAAATCCTTTAATAGTATTTCAAATATTTGTGTGCTCGCTTATATAGGGAAAATTTATTTCTTATTCTTTAAAATTTTTTTTGCAAGGAAACTTAAAGATTTTTTTTAAAAAAAAATTTATATTTAAAAATTTTTTAAATATAAAAAAAATGTGTCTTATGTACGCACGTAAAAATTTTCTTCTTTGGCGTAACAAGATTAAAAAACTTTCTAAAACCTTTTAGCAGGGGAAACTGGGCCAAAAGGGCGAAACCAGAGCAGGGGAAAAAGATACTAACCTTCAGTTAATCGGACCAGCCAAACCTGATATTATCACGATTTAAATACTTTTAAAAACCCCCCCGCACGGGGACAAAGGAAAAAACAGGGGGGTAGGGGGTTTATCGGGAGATGAAGAACCGAATGTGACATCTGAATTCATATTGAATGTCTCGGCGGGAAGAATCGTTCTGAAAAAATTTAAGCCTCCCCGAAGACCCCCGAGTTATGGTCATTTTAAAATAATTAAAACATTTAAAACAATTAAAAAAAATAGAAGGGGTTTCCCAGCAACTCAAAACTGGTCCGGTTTTTAGCAAACAAAAGGGGAATCCATTAGAACCGGTTCGGTAGAATTTCTGGCGCAACGCGCTCGGGAAAGGAAAGCGCAATTAACCCCCGGGGGAACAACTGTGATGCAAATTCACGTAATCCCAATGATACAAAGATTGAGGTGATCCCAAAGCATCCTTCTTCTCTGTAATATCACGTCATAAAAAAGTTCGAACCCCATAAAAAAAACAGGGGGATTTTTTTTTATTATAACGCCCCCCCCTAAGTCCACTATCTACACATAAATTATAACAGATGAAACGCTCAACGGGGGAGAACCAAAGGCCCGAGTTTCTTTAAAGTCTAAAATTTCTCAATAGGGGATTAAAAATTATAACTTTTTAAAAAAATTTTAAAATGTTTTAAAAATTTTAAAGAAATGGGCTATGTCCTGAAAAAAAAATCTAAAGCTCATAGGAAAAAAAGAATCCCGTCGGTGCGGTCACCAAGGTGGCATAGGATTCAAGTTTTTTCGGGGGGAAATCCAGGGAGGGGCCGGGGTTTTCGTAAAAAGGCTAATACAAAAAATGGCGGACTTCCAAAAAACGTTCCCTAAATTCCTTGGGGGGGAAAATTTTTCCGTCCATGGATTCTTTGGGGGCATGATTTTTAGTGTTTAAGCCCTCCCTCCTACACAATGGGAAAGAAGCAATGACTGGTCTGACGTTTGGGGCACTTGATTCAAATCTCAAAATGAGACTCAAACAGGAGCCGAGATACTGTGAATTTAAAAAAATTTAAAAAATTTAAGACAATTAAAAAATGGAAGAAATGCCCTATAGCACGAATTTATAATAACTGGGAAAAAAGCAGATAGAGATTGAATGGCAGGTCCTAATGGACTTGGGGGCGGGAGCCGAATATTGGCCAAAAAAATGTAGAGGGGGAATGAACAGGGTCGTCCCCAAAAGTATGCTTTTCAAAAATTTTTGATTAAATTTTCAGTCCCATAGCAAAAAAAAGTGGCATATTAAATTATTAGACAATGGTGTGGCACGCATCGTTCGTGAAGATTTGCGCATCCTAAAAATTTTCCCCCATCCCCTAACCCCAAAAAAAAAGTATAACTTCAAAATAAAAATACGACTACAAAAAAGGGTCTTATAATTTGTTACAATGTAATAAATGTGTTTATGTTCATCGCAATGCGTTCGTAGTAAATACATCTATAATCATATACTTGCAATTTTTATTTAAATAGGTAAACTAATATTTACTCTTATGTTTTAAGTACATGAAACACAATTTAAAGATTAATTTACTAATTTTTTTTTAAAAATTTCTTGTATGTTTGGTTTAATAACAAAAAGTGTTAAAACAAATGCAATAGAGAAGCTCCGTAGGCGAAGAACGATCTCTCCCTACTAGTAGTGACGTCACAAATCAGCGCAAAGCAAAAGTTTGCAGATACGGGGGTATAGCTCAGTCGTACAGCATTCAACTGCACATCGAGAGGTCCCTGGTCCAAACCAAGGTGCCCCTTCTTCGGGGAAAGGGAAAAAAATATTTTTTGAGAATTTCGAAGGGGGAATGATCTGTCCGTTCTGTATATTTCTAGACAAAGCATTTTTATCCGTTACTACGGAAAGCAAAGGTTTGCTGACGCGGGAGTATTGCTCAGCGGCAGAGCATTCGACTGCAGATCGAGAGGTCCTCGGTTCAAACCCGGGTGTCCTCTTCTTCAGGGAAGGGGAAAGAGAAATTTTTTTTGAGGGATTTCAAAGGGTGGGGCATGTGGATTTTGGCCCCGTTCTTTCTATTTCTAATCAAAAAATTTTTTCGTATCCGTTCTAGGGAACGAAAAAGAAAAAGCTTATGTGAACGGGGGTATAGCTCAGTGGTACAGCATTCAACTGCTCATCGAGAGGTCCCTGGTCCAAACCAAGTTGCCCCCTTCTTCAGGGAAGTGAAGAGAAATATTTTTTTGAGAATTTCGAAGGCGGGAATGATCTGTCCCGTTCTGTATATTTCTAGACAAAGCATTTCGTATCCGTTCCTACGGAACGCAAAGCAAAGGTTCTCTGACACGGGGCGTATAGTTCAGTGGTAAAGTATTCGATTTCAGATTGAGAGGTCTCCGGTTCAATCCCGGGTGTCCCTTTCTTCAGGGAAGTGAAGAGAAATTTTTCCTGAGAATTTTGCAGGTGGCAATGATCTTTCCCGATCTGTATATTTCTAGACAAAGCAATTTCGCATCCGTGACGGTTTTGTGTCACATCCATGACGGTGTGCGCGCGCATCGTAAAAATTCAACCTCATCTTATTCCTCTAACGCCCCGAAAGAAGTATAACTTCAAAAACATAAAAAATTAACAATATTGTCTCAAAATTTTATAATCAAATTTTCTACCGTAATACAAGACACGGTGATAAGAAACTAAAACTTCTAACGAAACAAATAAAGAATATATTCTAGTTTTCAAAATAATCTATATGAATACTAAATACGAAATCCATTCTGAACTTCAATCTAATTTAAATCTATTCTGTATTGAATGATTAAACCAAGTGTGTTGAATCTAAAGCCATATAAATTTTCTCCTCGACTTACGACCAGCTACTCTTATGAACAGAGAAAAATTTAGGAAAAATCATAAATAAAGAAAAATAATTATTGTGTGGATTTAATTTTTTATTTACGTCACACTGTAAAGAAACATGAAGGCTGTTGACCCCGAATCTCGTAATTTTGAATCATGGTCAAGTGACGAGGACGAATTTGAGATGGCACCCTCTCTCTCTCATCTCTTATTTCCCTAACACGCCAATGAGAGTTTGGGCCTTTGCAAATTTGTGGCGTTTCTAATCAGGATAAGAAGATGTGATCTTTCAGCCCAAGAGATGTACAGATTCCTTGGACAGACACGTCAACCGTAACTGTGAAGGGAAAATAGAAAGATCAAGATCAAACTACCATAGAGCCATTTCCTTTACAAGTCAATCGTGGATCAGTTGGCGAGCTGCCTTATTGTTATTTTGTAACTTATTGCTTTTATAATCTTCAAGAACTGAAAAAAATAGTTAACTTTACTGGTGTTTTCTCTTCTTGTTTCAGCGCAGTTAAATATGTCGAAAGCTCAAACGTCCTCCCTTTGGTGGAGTGTGGTAATTAGGAGAAAGGTTGCCAGCTTAAATGTCATCCTCGTCACTTGACAATAGTTCAAAACTACAAGGGTTTTCACCAAAAGCCCTCGAGTAGCTTAACATTTCTACTTTAATATTCACTTACTCTGAAGGCCGCAGTAGCCTAGTGGTTAAAGTGACAGACTCGTGGTCGGCGTGTCATGAGTTCCATCGTATTGGCACTGAAGAACCGCCGTGTAGGGGAAAGATGCACGTTAAATCTATCAAGAGCTAAAACAACCACCCGTTGGTGTAATTTGGTAGTTAGGAGAGGGGGGCAGCTCCGGTGTCGTCCTCTTCACTTGACAATTTCTCATAATTACGAGGTCCTTCACCAAAAGCCCTCGAGTAGACAAACAGTGCGACGTAAATATTCACACATTCAATCTTCCCTTTTGATCTCATTTTCATATTGGTGTATGTCATTTCTACATTGGCGACCCGTTCTTTTTTGGAGCTGAACTGTACCACAGCACAGCTTTCTTTAGAAAACGGCACCTTTCGAACCCAATTTAGGCCCTCAGATCTCTGCCCCGCTCGGACCTCTAGGCACCTGGATCTCCGCCCCGCTCGGACCTTCAGACACCAGGATCTTCAGGGACACCTAGGTTTTGAAACGGTGACTCGATAACACCGGTCAAGAGCTCGTGACAGTAACTGCTCGGCTACCCCGTAGCCTCACATTTTATAAGTACTTATAAGTACCACTCACTTTAAAATGACTTAGAATAATCATTTGTACGAATATTCAGACGATATTTAGAAGAAATATTCTTTGAAATCCACTCTTTCAACATATATGGCAGTACGGGTTCTATGATGAGTATTTTAGCGGAAAATGCGAATAGTTTCATAGGAGAAACTGTGTTTTCAGCGGATTGCGAGGATTATCATTTTTGTCCCGAAAAAATAAATCATGTCAAAATTTAAGTGTCTTTTTTTTTATGTAAACTAAGATCTTAGAAAACGATTTGACTATTTATTTTATGTTAATAGTGTATATAATTAATTTTACAGTTAAATATAATTAATTAATTAGCTCTAACTAATTAAATTTCCCAAAATTGAGTATTTTGTTTATGTATAACCCTTAATTTGAATGTAGTGATTCAAAAAAAAAATATATCATGAAAAAAACTGCAGTAAATTATAATACGGTCGATAAAGGTGATTCGCTCCCCAATGCCACCGATTTCCACGTAGGTGTGCATATGTGATGTATTGGGGGGGGAGGAATAAATAAGAAAATTCTCTGAAGTAAATCCTTTATAAACACTATCAATGTCTTTTTATGGCATCCCAAAGCCTTTGAAATAATTTCATGAATAGCAGTGTACAGTAAAAAAAAATCGTATTTCTTAAAACGTATATATACGTCCGATGCAATTAAGGATTTATCTGAGCTTGACGTTTATATACGCCAGTAGCGCAAAAGAGGTTAAAGTTGTATTGAATCTTTTGCTTAGTAAAAATAATGTATTGAATTCAGTAAAAAATACTATAGTTTATTACCAAATTCAATACACTGTTTTTTTATAGAGGGGGCGCGATGAAAATTATGACTGAATGTTGGGTCACAAACATTGAAAGTTTGAGTACACTGTTGTACATTAAATTTAATTGTGCCTTAAAAATGGTATGGTAATACAAGATATGTCGCTAATAACTCCGATGGTTTTTTTTTATTTATTTATTTCTAGCAGCAGCAAAAAGAAATTAATGAATACATCATCCGTTGGAGTGAAAATACTCGACGCAAACACACGTGGAGTAACAACCAATTAAGCAGCAAATAAACAAAAAAAAAGATGCATAAACGCAATTAGTAAGTCAATCAGATTACGAAGATTTTAAATTATCTTTGGCCCTCCAGTATCTATAATAGATGCTACCAGGGACAGCAGGGCAAATCTCTAGGTGCTCAGCATTCTCATTAGGGAATTCTCTGCGCACAAAACCCAGTTTTGAAAAGGAGTTGGCGCTCTGTAGATTGTGTGCTGGTGTGGCTCTAAAAAAATTGACTGTAATTCAAATCAAAAGTAAGGCAATTGAGAAAAAAATATACCAGTATTTATCATGCTGTAATCATAAACCATTTAATGTTGATCAGAGTATAACATCTCAAGACAATTCATAATAATTTAAGGAAATTTATAATTATTACAGAGCTTTCATATTTTATATTCGAATCGAAATTTTGCATATTGCTGTAAAAGTATAGGTTCAACCTGGCTCTTTTTCAAATATTATGAACAGTTTCTTTAGGAAAATGTCATACAATCTTTCAATTTGTCTGCTATTAATTAGAATGTAATTTGGGATAAGAAATGCGACAGACAGCAAAAGCCATATTTTCTTACAATTCATAATACTATATATTATATTGATACATCAGGTCATTGGCGCTTTATGGAAACCCTGCCATCAGCATGGTATAGTTAAAAATGTGATACTTCGAGCCAAGTGACCCCTTTCTAGTCATCTACAGTCTAATCCATGTGCTCTTTTGCAAACTGGACGCGTCTGTTCTCGTTCAAGAGCAACAGTAGAGGCTTTCGAACCAGTCTTCAGCTACTGTAGCCTGTCCAGTATAATGCGCGCGAACAGTTCGTGAAGAGACATTCACAGATGCTCCTTGATAAATATGTCTTACAATTTGAAGAGCGGTCGCTCTTCTGTTGGACTGGACTACGTTCATCATTCTCCTTCCCAAAAGAAGTAGCCTGTGATGACCACAAGTGCAACGTTGAGACCCAGTTTTCTGCTTGGGAATCCATTCTCTGTAAACATTGAAGACTGCTGATTTGGAACACTTCACAAGTACAGTCATTTTGTTAATACTGGTTTCGAGTGCCTAAAATCACCCCGCATTAAAAAAAAAAGGAATGAAGTAACATTCCCCCCTATTTTTTCGAAAGCAACACAATACAATTGATGATTCACTATCCCTGATTTCTCTATTAATAGACATCTTGCCCTCTAATGGTAATTACATGAAGTTATAGGTTATCTTCGAAATAGTGTCGAATGGTCGTGATAGTTTGGTCACTCAGAGTACATGTATAACCTTCATTTTGAAGGAATCAAACGAATAAAAGAATGTGTGTGTTTTTTTTCTGCGTAGGATGTTAGAAAAATTTTGAAACGATAATATTCATATTTCCAAAGAAATAATCAAACAAATTATTTGTTTTTTAATCGTGTATTTATTTAGAATAGTAGCTTATTTCTACGTTAAGCTTATTCAATTGCACATCAAAGCTAAACTAAACATTCAAAAAACCTCTTTTTCGCAAATGCATTCTTCTTCAATATGAATAGAATTATATATTAAATTAAATCTCTACAATGCTATCTTTTATGATAGGGAATTAATTTAGTTATAGTTTTAAATGGGATTCTCAGTACAAATTGAATTATTCAAAAAATAAAGTTCCTCGCAATATTTACATATTACTTTAAACTTTAGAGTTCACATCAAAGCGAATCCTTCATCAACATTATCCTACATTCCTCTATATAGATATTTGCTTTCAAGTAATATATTTTTACAGAGAAATAAACAACTTTTGCATCGCATACAGTGTGCAGAAAAAACTTTCAATGCTTGTTTACTTCAAAAATTAATGGAAATAAACTTTTTAGTAATAATACAATTATGTTTTTAAAACAAAATTGGGCAACACATTCCACAGATTCGGGGATTCTTCTTCCAAGAAATAATGGAAGTAATAATTATAAACAAAATTTCCGATAGTTTCCATTAGATGGC